CCCCGCATTCAACCGCAAACATCTGGCTCTTTCATTCAACGACCTGTTCGTCGTTCCGCAACACCATTCTGTTGTGGTGTCTTGCGCACTGTAAAATGCCTCTGAATCCCATGCTCCTTACAGAATTGTAGGAACTGTGAATCTGTGTACTCCGTACCATTGTCAGACCGCAAACACTTGATTTTTCGTCCTGTTTGGTTTCTACCTCAGCTTTCCACAGCTTGAACTTCTCAAAACTTCAGATTTCTGTTTCAAAAAATACACCCAAACTTTCCGTGAAAAATCATCAATAAAAGTAACATAGTACCTAGATCCACCCAAAGACGATGTCGTGGAAGGCCCCCATACATCAGAATGCACATAATCAAGAATCCCTTGAGTTGTGTGCTTCGCAGTCTTGAAACAGACTTTAGTCTGTTTACCAAGAACACAATACTTGCAAAAGTCGAGCTTACAGCTTTTGACACCATGCAACAAGTTTCTCTTGTGTAATTCTGCCATACCACGTTCACTAAGATGAGCAAGGCGCATATGCCACAATTTTGTCGTATCATCACAGGACTCAACAGAGTGAACTCCACCTGCAACGGTACTCCCTAACAATCTGTAGATATTCCCTGCAGTCACTTGCCTTTTCACAGTCAATGCTCCTTTAACAATCCGAATGTTTCCCTATCCTCGTCAGCCTTAGGGATAAAACCATTCTTGTGCAAAGTGCCCAAGGAAATCAAATTCTTCTTCAGTCTGGGATATGTCGAACACCACTCAACGTCCGAACGGAGCCATCGTGCATCTTAATTCTGACATCACCAATACCAACAATATTGCAACATCGATCATCACCCAAATAAACCGAACCAGAATTAACCGGCCTGTATGTCGAAAACCATTCCCTATTTGGCGTGATGTGATAAGAACATCCAGAATCAAGAATCCAAGCATCCGTCAATTGTGTCGTTGAAATAGAAAGCATATCACCCTCACTGCAATCAGAAGTATCATCCTCGACCACGTTCACAGACTTGGATGAGCCATCACGCTTCTCATCGGTCTGCTTTTTCAACTTCGGACAGTCTCGCTTCATATGTCCCGCCTCCTTGCACTTGTAACAGTGAATCGTCTTCTTATCCCTGGATTGGATCTGGAATTCCGCTTCCCGGACCCTGCCTTCTCTGGCTTCCGTCCACGATCTCGATTACCCTTGACATATAAGCTATCGGCTTGAGAGCTTTCCCCTGCATTCTGCTTCCGCTGGTTTGTGAGCCAACAAGGCTGCAGTAATCTCCTCAACATGATAGTCTCTTTCCCATATGTAAGAGTAGTCACCATGTGTTCGTAAGAGGAAGGCAACGAACACAACAGAATCATCGCTCTGTCTTCATCCTCAATTTTCACATCAAGCCGAGCCAGATCAGAAACGATTTGATTGAAGACATTCACGTGTTGCGCCAAATCGTGATCGTCCTGCATCTTCAGCCCATACAAACCGCTGCTTCAGATACATTTTGTCGTTAAGGATTTGGACATAAACTGACTTTCCAACTTCCTCCAAATTTCGTCTGGAGACGATAGATGCATGACGTGATACATGACCTCGTCCGCCAAGCATAATCGTATGGTTCCTGCCGCTCGCTGCTGCAATTCTTCCCAATCTTCCTCATCCATCGACGCCGGCTTTGTAGATCGCAAAGCCTTCAAGATCCCTTGCTGCGCCAATAGATCCTTCACCCTCGTTTGCCATAATCCGAAGTTACCCTGACCATCGAATTTCGCGACTTCGAATTTTGCTCCTGAGCTCTGATACCAATTGTTGACGAAAACGGGTAAAGAAAACGAAAGAACACGAGAATTTTACGAGGTTCGGCAATGTGCTTATGTCCTCGGTGCCTAGGCGGCGCTAGAAGTTTTATTCAATGATCTTTTTAGGTGTAGGTTACATCTCTATTTATAATAGAAAACCCTGGTACATAATTACAAAATCAACCCTGTACCGTACCGCGGGGGGCTGCGCCCCCACACCCCCAACCCACATAATTCGTAACCCCACAACGAGACTTTTTATGAGCCATACATAACACTGTTGTTTTCTGCTTCAAGATCGGTTCCCGATCTCCATAACTTTTTTACTGCCATTACTGTATTCGACTCTGGCATCTAAGCTTTGTATACAACACCAGTGGCTCCCATTCCCACCACATTTGATTCTTTAATACAGGCTAGGATGTCTGCAGTTGTGAAACCAAGTCTTTGAAATGCCATTAATCGCCATGTCCATTCTCCATTGTCTTCTTTAAACCTTCGTTTGAAGTAGTTGCCGCTAGAATAAAACTTTCTATATAGCAATTGCCCACCGATAAGTAAGATTTCGGCCGCTAAAACTGATGAGATCCCAATCAACCACCCTGTAACTATATGTTTTGCTTGCAAGCGTCTCTGCCTTGATGAAGTCGGTGAATGTCAGTTACATGGAGGGAGAACACCACCACAGAGGCCAGGATTATCGATGAGATCATCGGGATTGATTGTTCTTAACACTCTATTTGTAGGAACCGGACCTTCTAGTTTGTTATATGAAACATTGTGCAATTCTAGAGATGGAGAAATCCCAAAATCATCAGCAATCACACCTCTGAGAGAGTTGTTAGATAAATAAAGAACAACCAATGTTGGCATTATATCAATTGATTTCGGAATTTCTCCAGCCAATTGGTTATTCCTCATATTCAAAGTAACTAATTTCTCACATGAAGCAATACTAACCGGGATACTTCCTGTAAAATGATTTGATGAGAGATCAAGCATAGCAATTGAAGGGCAATCCTTAAACTGATCTGGGATTTCACCAACCAGGTTATTGTTCGAGGCAATAAACGATTGCAGACTAGGGATCAAAAAAATGGTCAAAGGGAGAGAAGATCGAAGGCGATTACTCGAAACATCAATAAAAGAAAGTGATTTAGAAGAAGTAATATCATCAGGTATTTCACCAGTGAGACTGTTATTTGCCCATTCTAACATCTGAAGGATCCCAAGTTTGCCAAATCCAACAGGAATCGCCCTGGATAGAAGATTGTTCTGCATTCAAACTTGAACAAGTAATGGACAATTTGATATGTTGACTGGCACTGGACCTGAAAAAGAATTGTTGAACACAATGAGCTTGGTGAGATTCCCTCCTGAGAAAGAATTGTTGTCAATGAGCTGAGAATTGAATTCGAGAACGATTCGAATATATTTCCATCCACTGCAACGGTGAATTCTTGCCGAGATCAACCAACAACGGTCTTGAAAATGAATTGTTCCACAACTCAAGCACCTGTAATTTCGTCAACGCTCCAAGTCCAACAGGAACATGGCCTGATAACCGATTGCACATCAAGTTCAAGAGTTACAAGTTCTTAAGTTCAGCAATCTCAGCAGGAATTTCACCTGATAAACTATTATCAGACAAATCCAGCAGCTGCAACAAACTGATTTCGCCGATCGACAATGGAATACTACCTTCCAAATTGTTCTTATACAAGAAAATCGTCTCTAATACTTTGAGCCTCCCTAGTTCAGTAGGAATCTCACCACTAAGATTGCCAACTGACAAATCAAGGTACTTAAGATTGGCGAGGTTACCAAACTCAATTGTTATTCCACCTTCGAATTCATTGTATCCCAGAATAAAGTTTCCACCAATGAAAGCTCCCCGAGATCTCTCGGTATCCGGCCGATGAGACTATTTTCGGGAAAGACCAAGGAATTTCAGCTTCTGCAAGTTCTTGAAAGACTTGGGAATTGAACCCTGGAAGAAGCTCCCTCTCAGGTCAAGAATCTCCAATGAAGTTGCATTGCCAAGATCCTCAAGGAGAATTCCAGAAAAATTGTTGCTTGAAGCATTCAACAAAGTCAGTCCCGAAGCTCTTTCGAATCCCAGTGGAAAGCCGCCAGTGAATAGATTTTTGCTCACATCAATGTTGTTGAGTGATTTGAGATTGGATATGGATTTCGGTAGATGAGAAGATAGTTCATTGCAGCACAATTCAAGAGATCTTAGGCTTTTCAGGTTTCCGATATCATCCAAAAACAGGCCACTGAGATTCATACGTGAAAGATGAAGCCTTTCAACTGACCCATCAGAGTTGCACCATACACCAGTCCAGTTGCATTGAGTTGAACTCTTTAGACCCTCATTTTCAGGCAATCTCCAATCGTCATGTCTATTCAAAAGATCAATGAAACCAACTTTGATCAACATCAATGCCAATGTTTCCTCATTGAAGTTGGTATTTTCAGCCTCAATGTCATGGCAAAAGAACAAGAAGAAGAACTGGATTCTGAAGTGCATAGTGTTCTTAACTGCTGATCATTAATCTCTCAGAACACCTTTGTCATAAGCTGAACAAACTTGGTTGGTTTCAAATGGAACAAGTTGATCATTTGTTTTGATGAAGAAAGTGAAAGGAACACTACAACAACTTTAGCATCTAGCGGCGTTTACTATGCAAACGTCGTTTACTATGCAAACGTCGTTTACTATGCAAACGTCGATAACATTTTGCATTTAGCGGCGTTTTTTTAAAAACGCCAGTAACTGTAAATATTAACGGCGTTTTTTCCACAAATGCCGCTATAGAACGACAAAAGGTGGCGTTTTTCCAATAAACGCCGCTAAAGACTCGTACTTTAGTGGATTTTTTATACAAACGCCGCTATAGACTTGTACTTTAATGGCTTTTTATACAAACGCCGCTATAGACTCGTACTTTAGTGGCATTTCTATACAAACATCGCTATAGACTCGTACTTTAGTGGCGTTTCTATACAAACGCTGCAATTTTAAAGTTTCAGAGTACCGGCATAGGGCTTAGGGCTCTCATTCTCTTCCCCGATTTACCGGTCCTCTCATGGCTCCAACTCTTCTTCTCGCTTCTCAGTCTCCGATTTCATCTCTAGAAATGAGGCGGCGGTTGCAGCTCACGCTAACGCTAACCCTTTGATTTTTAAGGTTTAAATCTCAAATTGATGTTGTACGTTGCCTTTTTGAGTTACAATTGGTTTTGTTTTCGGGTGAAAACAACAAATTCAAAGAAGTATTGCGTCCTTCCCAAAGCAGGGGTCGTCTTGCCTCGACCCACATGTGAAGTTATGGGTATTCTAAATTAATTGTATTTACTTTATATTTTACTGGTTCTATCTCTACTCATTATTGGATTCAGAAAATTCTAGTACAATGGTTGATTTTGATTTAGCTACAATGCAAGCGCAAAAGGAAGCTCCACCTGATATGCAATGCAGGGACAAATTCTTCCTTCAGATGTCGCAATCGCGAATCAATCTCCGGAATCTGCAATCCGCCATCCTTACGCGGCGGTGCAAAGGAAAAGAGAGGAGAGGAGTATGTTGGAAGACCCTACATCCACCGCACCCGATGCCGCCCCCATTATCAAACGCTACACTCCTCCTAATCAACGGTAACTTCTTAACCATAAATTTTCCACCTTTTCCTTTTTCTTTCATGTATACCTCTTCCGTTTCTATCTCTCTACTTTTCTTTAAAAAATTATGCCTCCCGAATTGCAGAAACCGTTCTCTCGGTCGCCGTAAGTCTGGAGGTCAGCTTCTTCATCAATTATTGATCATTAATTTTTCGGTGATTTATATATACATATTTGAAAAAAGAAAGAAAGAATTATTTTAATTGATTTGATAGACTGAGTTATAATTACATTTTGCAGATTGGTTTCATTGGACTAATAATGTATATGGGAATGATTCAGAGAAGAACCTAGGTGTCGCATCGAGAAACAATCTGGTCGGAGATGCTGGGAGCAGCGGTATCCTGAATGAAGACCACCATCGTCCTACTTTAATACCTTTAGAAGGTTGTTCTAGAAGTGACGCTTCTCGGCTTTAAAGCAATCGTACGATGTCTCTACACACTTTGAATGATTTGTGTGTACTTTTATTAAGAAAACTGCCCTTGTTTCTGAATTCCACCAACATTGGTTATCCCATTAGTCTGTGAAGTTAGAGTTATTGATTTTTTTATCTTTACATTTAGGTGAATTATTCAACTTATGGTTGGAAAGGGTTTCTTTTTCTTTGGTTCCTGGTTAGGGTTGTGGCTTTATTATCAGTTCAGGTACTGGAGTAATTTGCTGAAGCCTAATTAGTTTCGTGGACGACTTTTCCTGGTTGGTTAAGTGGTGAAGTTTCAAGGGTAGTTGGGGTGGTTCTTAGGTTCAAGTCCATTTTCCTCTCTTTTATTGTTTTTGACAACTGTTAGCTTTTTTAGAATCCATTTATACAATCATGTGACTGATATACATTCATTGTTTATCTCTACAAATGAAGGTTGGGCAGCTGCCTTACATTGCTACCATGATACTTCTATTGATTTGTCTGGTGAGTGGAAGAATAGAAAACTTATAAAATTTTCCATTTTACGGTTTTGATTTGATTGGCTTTGTGATATTTTATATGGAGCAAATATTGTAGCGGTACATTATCTACACGATAAGATTGTTATATGAGGTTCGCAAGCCAATTTGAGATATACTTTTCTGAACTCTCAATGTCAATCACATACTTTAAAACCACAAACAACACGAGTTGCCTTACTAAAGTTGGATTGTGTTTAACCCCTGCAAATCACTCTTCCTTATGTCACCTTTGTTGGTTTCTATTGCACTTCCCCAAAGAACTTGAAGTAATTTCTTTACCACTGTAAGTGTCTTGTGAATGACATATTGCCTACTAGATAAAGGTCTTGTACCATAATGCAAAATCCTATTCTCAGCTTGTAAGGCATATTGTCGAGCATCTTCTAAATTATAGACACAAACTGCCCCTAGCTTCTCTCTAGTACTTTAATCCAAACCTGCAAGATAGCGAGATAGCTGTTCATTAGTCTCATTCAAACCAACTCTAATGGACAGATTATTAAATTCAGTAGTTTAGTCAGATTTTGGAATATCCATTCGGGTTTCCACATGTTCCTGTCGCTTCAAACCTTGTTCAACCTGAAACAGTTCTTCAATCATGTGCCTCATCTCGATTCTCAAACAACTCTTTTTTGCTGGCGTTGATTTCTTCTTCCACAACTTCTAGCGTGTCCTTCCATGGCTTAAAAAGGGTTTCTAATATTTCCTGGGATCTAATTAAGCTATGATTATTTGGAGGAGGACCGCTAGTTGGTTCTTACCATATGGTAAAGGATCTCTAAGAGGGAGGTTTTTAATGAGGCCATCTATTCCTATCAAAAAAAAAATTATTTGGAGGAGGAAATCTGAACAGCTAAGAAAATTGAAATAAGATGGCAGAAGAAATTGAACAGGGATAAAAGAAGGTCCTGGGATTTTCCAGCAACCTACTTTATTAAAGCTCTCTTAATGATACTCAACAAAAACTGATCCCAATAAAGCCTCGTGTAGAGTATTTTCATAATAGAACTCTTGATAGCAATTCTCTGCTAATAACTTAACACATCAAATAATAATTATAACAATAATAACAGACTTAAACAAAGCTAACATAAAAAAAAACTTGAAGCATCAAGAAGGTTGTCAGCTTTTCAACATTATCATTCGAGATGTCGGCACAAACCAGTGATAATTGAGCTATGCTAGTGGATAATTCATCCTTTTTTATATAAACTCTGTTGTTAAAACATATGTAAGGGTTCCTCATCCCAGGCATGGGTTATGGATCTTAAAATAATTTCCACTAGCTCCTATCCCATTCTATTTCACTGATAGGAAGATGTTAAAGAAGACTACCAATGAGTTGAAAGGTGCTCTTTCTCTTAGATTTTATGGTCGCAAGCAGTTCTATGTATGTCTGCTTGTTGTGTATGGGATTTTGAGAGTGTTATATTTGTCAATATTAGCATTCTTTCATGTTTTTTATATTTATTTATTTATTATTTATTTGCTATTGTGGTTCTCCTTGTTTCAGAAAGACCAGTTCTGTACTCTGGAAGTAGTGATTTAGCCTGGACAATTTCTTGTAGATTTTTATCGAAAAATGTAATTCTTTGGGTCGAAAGACTTCCTTTTAAGTAAGCAAAATGTGTCTTCAGATGTCGAATACGATCCACTGAGGTTTTTGCTACTACATTCGGTCTTGGTTCTATCACAATGGGGGCAAGTTGCCTGTGTAATTTGTTAGTACATAAACAAGATTTTGGATTATTAGTGAATTTATGTATACACGTGTATACCATTTTGTTGTCTTTTAGCACGAGAGCGTGTTCAGATTGAACTCCAGTATTTGCATGAGTATGTTGGGATAAGCTCAAGCATTGGATTAACTACTTTGTATTAATTATTGTTTGAATTTTATTTATTTATCTATGGATATTTTAGGTTGTCTAAGGGATAATTAGTGAGCTAGAAGCACAAGGAGCTCTACCTAGGAGTAATTCGGGGGTTTCTTCACTTGCTACTTACTGTGGAAAGAGGTTAGTTTCAGTTTTTGTTTAGCTGTCAAAATTCAATCTTGCTGCTGTTGTTAAAACTGGATTAGGGTTCTGATTTGAAATTCAATCTTGATGCTGTTGTTGTTTACTACTATTTATTTTCTTGTTGTTTGCTGGATTAAGATTCTAATATGAACTTGACTCACTTGTAACCATTACAAGTTATCTATGCTATTATTTGGTTTTAATAAGATATCAAATGAGTTTGTAAAATAATGATGAACCAATACTTAGGAATTATCTATGAAGAGGCACATTACTTTTAGAGGGTAAAGTGACATTCATTCACTATAGCAAGTTTAGTATTTAGCTTCGGTTATTGCATGTTTGTTTTTGGTTTGTGTTCACTAATGTTGAAACATCAAAAGACATGCAGTAATTAACTCGATCACCCATATGTATGGACTGAAGCGCGCAAGGAGTCTTCTTGGTGAACCGGACCTAGGGGATTTATTTGGTAAAATAAATAAAAAGTTTCTCCATATACAATTTACACGGAGGAAACACTTAACAATCCTTCATCAAACAAGGAAAATTGGTTTTTTACTTCCTTTCCCCACGAAGGAGAGATGAAGATTAAATTCTAGTGAACAATATTTTTTTAATTAAAAGTGAAAGAACCTAGACTAAATTCTAGAGAACAATGTTAAACTACATTACTTTTAATTGTAATGTTTATAAATTTTAATTTATTTTGATGTTAAATATTTTTTTGCATTATTTGTGTCTTAATTAAAATTTATAATGGTTGCTAATTACATAAAGTTACATGATATTAAATTTAGGTGATGTAGAGCATAAATGAAATATGCAAAATCAATTAATCTAAGCTAAAGAAAGGTAATTAGTGGCGTTTGTATTCAAAAACGCCGCTATAGATCTCGACATTTCGCGGCATTTGTTCCAAAAAATGCCGTTATAGATTTCAATCTTGTGGCTTTTTTTCAAAAACGTTGCTATAGATATGACCTTTTGCGGCATTTGTTCTAAAAACGCCGTTGTAGATCTCGACCTTTTGTGGTGTTTGTTTCAAAAACGCCGTTATAGATCTTTACCTATTGCGGCGTTTTTTATTCTCAAACGCCACTAACTTTAGCGGTGTTGGTATGGCCGCGTTTCTTGCGGCATTTTTTCTATCGCCGGTGCTTAAAAACGCTACTATAAGACTAAAAAATGCTGCTAAAATAAAAAGGGAAAATGGGGGATTAATTAATTAAGAAGTCGTGAGATCTTGGGTTCTGAAACAGCAAGTACTGACAGAGGAAGGAACCTTTCCATGTTATGGTTATATAGAATACAGATCATACCCTCATCTTGCCCTAATAAATTAAACACTGTTAGTTGAGTGGGTTTGTTATTAGTTATGATTGAGTCCATGGGATCTTTCCATGTTATGTGTTGACGAAAACGGGTAAAGAAAACAAAAGAACACGAGAATTTTACGAGGTTCGGCAATGTGCTTACGTCCTCGGTGCCTAGGCGGCGCTAGAAGTTTTTATTCAATGATATTTTAGGTCTAGGTTACATCTCTATTTATAATAGAAAACCCTGGTACATAATTACAAAATCAACCCTGTACCGTACCGCGGGGGCTGCGCCCCCACACCCCCAACCACATAATTCGTAACCCACAACGAGACTTTTTATGAGCCATACATAACAAATCTCCACCTTGGCGAATATCCTGCCCCTTGGAAACTTCAATGTGGGTTGGGTTACCTTGCTTCTTTAACAACTCGAAACATTCAACAAGTCCAAGCAATGCTTGAACTTGTCTGTCGTAACTGGCTTGGTGAACATATCAGCGGCATTCTCATCAGTATGTACCTTCTGAAACAAAATCTCTCCAGATGCAACCAACTCTCTGATCTTGTGGAACCTTACATCAATATGTTTAGTTCTAGCACGATACACCTGATTCTTAGCCAAGTGAATAGCACTTTGATTATCACAAAGCAACTGAACTCCACCTTGTTGAACACCCAACTCCTTCACTAAACCAGTAAGCCATAAAGCTTCTTTTGCAGCTTCAGCCGCTGCCATGTATTCAGCTTCAGTTGTAGATAGTGCCACGACAGATTGAACAGTAGACTTCCAGCAAATAGGCCCTCCACCAAGAGTAAACACATACCCTGTCGTAGATCTTCTATTATCCAAGTCACCTGCATAATCTGAATCCACATATCCTACAACCAAAGGATTATCCCGCTGACTCCCAAAAACAATTCCATGTCCCACAGTACCCTTTAAGTACCGAAAGATCCACTTGACTGCATCCCAATGTTGCTTACCAGGTTTAGACATGTACTTACAAACTTGACTAACAGCATGAGCTAAATCAGGACGAGTACATACCATCGCATACATCAAGCAGCCAACAGCATTAGAATACGGAACCTTTGCCATATTTTCAGCTTCCTTATCTGTCTTAGGGCACTGTTCTGATGAGAGCTTAAAGTGATTCGCCAATGGAGTGCTAACTGGTTTCGCGCTGCTCATCGCAAACCTTTCTAGCATTTTCTCAACATAACCCCGTTGAGATAGCCGCAGTTTCCTTGAGTCTCTGTCCCTGCAAATTTCCATTCCAAGAATTTTCTTTGCAGCACCTAAATCTTTCATATCAAATTCCTGACTCAATAAAGTTTTCAAACCGATAACATCATCCATGTTCTTCGCAGCAATCAACATATCATCAACATACAATAATAGAAAAATAAAAGAACCATCATCAAGGCTCTTAACATAGACACAACAATCATACTCACATCGGTTGTAGCTAATCTTG